GCACAAACAACTCCTAGGAATCTCTAACTGGGCAATATGATTTTACACGTTTGAGATCCCCTTGCTCTCTTTTCCTTTTGATGCTAGTAACTTCCTGGTTCTTCTAGCACTTCATCCACTGAAATATCATTCTGCATATTTTCACCATCTTGTAACTTCATCAATGGTAGCTATCACACGACATGGAGATGAGATGTTAAAGAAAACCATATATATGTCAAGGAAGCAAGGGAACAACATTCAGTATAATCAGGCACACCTTAGATAGTTAGATATATCGACTCTTTATCAAGAATGTCTGACAAACTTTGTGCTTCATTGTAAAGATCATGCCCCTGCTCATCCAGATGGCCATTGTCACCAGCCTGATCTACCAGATAAGAATGCTTGATATCATTAAACAAAATAATAATTTATGGGCAAGGAAGAATATAACAGCTATGAGAAAGAAATCTCTAGAAATAAATAATTAATGCAACGAATAGGGATGTTAATAATCGAGTTTACCGTGAATTGTCTGTCAGAGTAGGTATTTGAAGCTGATCAGGCTGTAGGAATACACAAACAAAAGAGAGATAGTGGCAAAGGTACTGATATGGTCATCAATGTTTACATATATAAAATCTATCAATCTGACTTGGGGCTCCAGAATGAGGAGTAACCCTCCCAACTATAATAACAGAAATTTAAAGGACACTCTGCATGTCTACGCAATCAAAGATGCAAGCATACAAGAACTAACGGTACTCTGAATGCAACATACGTAGGTAGAACAACACATCATATAAGATAAAAATAAGTAGAGAAATATCTATCACATATAGTAATTAAATGGTGATAAATTACATGAAAGGTAGAAATTACAGATATAATAATAGCTACAGAACCTGGTGTAACCTGCAAGATCTGGATGCATTTCTTTGTTTTTGAGATTACATATAAATGATGATGGTGAACATATCAGCGGATGCGATGGTCGCCGTCCCCTGCCGAGACATTCTCGCCTAGCCACTCCACTGCGCCCCAGTGCCACCTATCCCGCCTCACCCACCGTCGCGCCCAGTCTGCAACATTATCATAATTAAGTAACTTATTATGCTCATATACCAAAAATTATGTCCTCCCGAGTTCCATGAACCAGCCCCATTCTATATGCTACAGTCATGTCGTTGCCATAGATTACAAGAAAGTACGCTAGTTAATTCCTACAACGACCTAAATAGCAACAAATCGAGTAGCGCCGACTGATACATAGCGCGCAGGCAAGCAACAACGTTCCACCCGCTGTGACGTTCATAGAAATAAATGTGGAGAGCACAAATCAGGCTAAACCAAACAAGGATAAAAAGTTTGCACTCTCATGCATGATCCGAGCCAAATCACAAGTCATTCAGTCAAGTGTAGGCTTTTGTACAAGAGCACAAGCATGCACCAAGCTTTCATAACAGATCCCCAAACTGGCTGGTACAAGCAAGTTTGAATCAGATCACAAGGTAATGAAAAGATAGGATAGCTACCCAAACATGGTTGATTTGAAACTGAAGAAAGTTTCCCTTCATTTCCTTAAATTTCTTGCACAAGTCAACCATGTTATCATTCCTAGCACACCAGAGATCTTGGACCGGCTCCCAAAATTTAAGTGTGTTACTTATGCTAAGATAAGAAAACTGAACGCTAATAAAGCCTCCAGCAACTCGAGAAACTCTTCAAAGAGCTCTGATTAGTTTCACCAGATTTTCTATAAATTAAGACTGTTATCCAATTATTCCTTGCACAAATAAAATAATAGGCTGTGGGGCACCTTAACCTATATATAAATGTGTTAACAGATGCAGCATTAAACTTTCTCTTGGCGAGGATAAACTGAGGACCATGATGATAAAATAATACAAAATAAAAGCAGAAGCAATTCGACCTCTTTTGATTTGACCACAAACATATTTGAATGCCTTCTTAGCAGCATATGTTAACTCCAGCAGCAATGCACGACATTCAACACCATTATTCGTTGCAATACCCAAACACTCTCATAGTTGAGCAATCTTCGGTTAAAGTAACTAACCACTAAGAAAAATACCAGCATAGTAACTGTTGGTGTACATATATACCACAGATCCATCCAAATGCCTTATTATTACACCAGCGCCTGGTTTCCCAGGATTTCCATTGCAAGCACCATAAAATTCAAGAATGCAGGACAGCTATAAAGACAAGGTCCAGTGATGAGAACAAGCCAACATTTCCTCAGCGAAGATAAGTTGCAAATATGCCTATCTCTACTACCTAAAAAAAGAGTAAGGTTCCAAGCAAGCAATCAAACCTCTCACTCCGAACAACTTTTTTTAATTTCTTTTACCTTTAGCGGGCTAATCAAGCATCAAAAAATTCTCATTAACATGTTTGCGCTGATGATTCTATTGATTATTGACTCACTTTCAAACCATTATTTGTCAGATCAATAGGCATTTAATTGACAACAATGCAAATTAGAACTTAATTGAGAAAATGATTAAGAGGAAGAAGGGGACATCTTACCGATTGAAAGAAACGCAAGAGTGAGGGACGACGGAGACGCGCAAACAGCAACAATTTTTTTATTATTCAGTACTGCTACCAAAAGGTCATTCTATGACAAAGAACTCATTGGGGAACAGCAGTTGCACCGGGTTACCTGGTATAAGACCAACATATTGTTCCCAAAAAGAAACATAAGTTGCAATTTTATAAGATGGAAAAGCATACAAAATAAAGAAAGAATTGGGATATACATCCACATGGGTTGCTAAATAAAGTGTATGCACAATTAGTGAAATTCATCTAAAAACTAAAGTATGCAGAGAGCAAGACAACATGTGAGATAATTAACCTAACCTACGGTCTACTTGTGATGTATTTGGGGCTGTGCAAGAGACCTCTTTCCCTTGCAATGAACAAGGCCCAACTTTGAAAGCGGTGATACAAAATTTAATGTAATGATCAAAAAGCACAATTTGGAGAACACTTAGATTCCACAAATCCAGCTAGATAGAAGCAACTCAAAATAAAAATGGTCTGAAATTAAAAAACTCTTGTTCGACAACCGCTAGCCCCGGCCTCCCCAGCCTCCGCTCCGGCGTCTTGGCAACACCGCTCTAGGACCTTGTTCGGGCTGTATGCTTCTACTTGGCATAATATTTGCTTCTTCAACAATAAATTTTCATTTACCTAGTAAGAGAGATCATACGAGTTGCAAGTAGCAACTGCAAGTAATTGCAGGATGTAGTAGATGTTAGGAATATGAAGTATAGCACTGACCCAATTGGATGCCCTGGCCTTGTGCTTCTTGGAGACAACCCAATGCACCTGCCCTTGCCATCAACCATGGGCAGGCCGTACTGGGTGGCAAAGAGTGTGTTGATCCCTGCCAGACATCACCTTCTCGAGCGTCGCCATGTGACTCATCTGCAGTAGACCAAACCCAATCCCGATTCAATCCCCACAAACCGTCAGATACATGAGTATGTATGGGTGGGCTTCAGTTACAAATATGTGGGGGGAAATTAAGCACCGGCTACAACAAATGTAAATATTCCGAGATGTTCATGGCATTATAGTGCACAAGATTATTTTTTACGACATGAAGAGATAAGATCCGGGTAGCATGAATGACCACCTTAACTGATTGGAGATTGCAAGAGCTTAAATTGATCCAGGGATGTATCACTTTACGAATCCAAGACCTGGGAGAGGATGCAATAGGGAGTGAGCATAGATGGGAAAAGAGAGGGAGAGAGGGAAGGGTTGGGGCAAGCTTACCTTGGCTGGTTGGCAGCAGCCGAGCTCGCCGTCGGTTGACGCAAGCGCCGGTCCCCAAGCCATGCCCACCACCGCTCCCACCGCCTGTAGAAGCCGCTCGCTCGTCACCGTCCTACATCGCTCGAGCCACTGCTAAGACGCATAATTTTGCCCCTAGGCTTCTCTTTCTCCTCCTGATCCAGGAGGTAGTCTCCGGACCTGTCGCCTCCTCGCTCACACCATGGCTTTGGGGAGGAGCTCGCCGTTGGTGGGAATAAGGTGAGCGGAGGAGAGAGGAGTGGGTTGCAGGCTTTTGGGGAGGGCGCTGGTGGCGGCGGCTATGGCGGAGGGCTCCGGCTAGTGGTGGCGGCGGTAGACGAGGAAGAGGGATAGGGAGGGGAAGAGGAATCGAGGAGGGGAAAGGGGAACGGGGGGCTGGGCGTTCTGTCTCACGCGAGCGAGCGCCCCTTCAGCATTGCGTTTCCACCTTCCGGTTAAAAAAATTCGGCACAGTAAAATCGGGACAGGTGGATCACGCGAGCAGCAGCCTTGATGCACACCTTATTGTTTTGGATTGGGCCGGGGCAGACAAGACATTGCATCGTCCAAAATATGGCATGCATCACAAAACGCCGGTATCAAATATCAGGAAGGGGGCAGCTTCTGTATGTGCCTCGGTGATCAAGAAGATCAGGTATAGGAGTGGTGAATTCTATATGTAAAATTCTGTTATGAATCAAGTGCAACTTTGAAACACATTCTTTAGTTAAGGCCGTTGTTTTTTACCAGTTGCGCGCCGCCTATGGCTAGGGTCCCGACTAGATATTACTAGCAAATATGTCCGTGTGTTGCTACGAAAGACAAAAAAATTACATGGTAGTCAAATGAGTATGACTCAATCCTCGAAATATGAGCGTTCTCTATTTTAACACTTCGGCTCACCATGTTGCCACTTAACTTTCTTCCCACCCTAGGTGATGATGGATGCGATGTCCACGCAATCGCAATGCATTCGACGTGTTAAATCCCATGACAATGAGCTTGCCACTACACGACACACTTGTAATTGTGTCGCGCAAGGGAATGTTTAAAACATTAAAAACAAATCCCATGAACTACGAACTACTCCCAATGCCTAGACATTTAAAGACTTTTCATAAACTAATCAAATCCTAGACACAAAAGACTTTTGAATCGGCAAACATTTTTTGAATCGACAAACATTTTTTGAAAAATTATCTATTTTTTAAAATTTACGAACATCTTTTTTGGTTAGACAAACATTTTCTGAAATGCATGAATAGTTTTAGAATTCATGAACATTTTTTACTCACTAAAAATTTCTAAAAATTTGCCATTTTAAAAAAAATTCATAAACACATTTTTTGTTTAGACGATTTTTTTTGAAAATGGATGAATGGTTTTCGAATTCATGAACCTTTTTGGACTCAGTAAACATTTTTCAATTGATGAACTTTTTAAAATTTGGGGAAATTTTTCTGAAATTTGCAAAAAAATTATCAATATTTTCTAAAATTTCATGGACATTTTTCAGATTCATGAATATGATTGAATATGCCATCATTTTTTCAAAATCATGATCATGATTTTGTTTTCCGACATTTTTTTTCTAAATTGTGATTTCTTTTAATAACTTCGAACAACTTTGTATAATACTCAACATTTTTTGAAACTGTGAAAATTTTATAATTTCCCAAAAAAAATGAGAATTCACAAACATTTTTTTTCAATTCTCGCAACCTTTTAAAATTTGGAAATATCAAATTAAATTAAAGAACGAAAGAACAGAAACAGAAGAAAAAAACAGGGGTGTCAAGATTTTAGAGCATCTCTAGCAGACCTCTTAAAACGTCGGCCCATGAATGCCACGTGGGGGGAGGTGAGAAAAAGGAGTGGGCAAAACGGTAGAACTGGGGATCGAAAATTAGTTTCAGGGTGGGAGAGATAGGCTTTAGAGCATCTCTAGCAGACCTTGCTACCTCTTGAGCACTGCGTTGGTTTTCCCCGAAGAGGAAGGGATGATGCAGCAAAGTAGGGTAAGTATTTCCCTCAGTTTTTGAGAACCAAGGTATCAATCCAGTAGGAGGCTACGCGCGAGTCCCTTGTACCTACACAAAACAAATAAATCCTCGCAACCAACGCGATAAGGGGTTGTCAATCCCTACACTTCCACTTACGAGAGTGAGATCTGATAGATATGATAAGATAATATTTTTTGTATTTTTATGATAAAGACGCAAAGTAAAATAAAAGCAAAGTAAAAAAGCAAAGGAAATAACTAAGTATTGGAAGATTAATATGATGAAGATAGACCCGGGGGCCATAGGTTTCACTAGTGGCTTCTCTCAAGAGCATAAGTATTCTACGGTGGGTGAACGAATTACTGTTGAGCAATTGACAGAATTGAGCACAGTTATGAGAATATTTAGGTATGATCATGTATATAGGCATCACGTCCGAGACAAGTAGACCGACTCCTGCCTGCATCTACTACTATTACTCCACTCATCGACCGCTATCCAGCATGCATCTAGAGTATTAAGTTAATGAAAACAGAGTAACGCCTTAAGCAAGATGACATGATGTAGAGGGATAAACTCATGCAATATGATGAAAACCCCATCTTGTTATCCTCGATGGCAACAATACAGTACGTGCCTTGCTTCCCCTACTGTCACTGTGAAAGGACACCGCAAGATTGAACCCAAAGCTAAACACTTCTCCCATTGCAAGAAAGATCAATCTAGTAGGCCAAACTGAACTGATAATTCGAAGAGACTTGCAAAGATAACCAATCATACATAAAAGAATTCAGAGAAGATTCAAATATTGTTCATAGATAGACTTGATCATAAACCCACAATTCATCGGTCTAAACAAACACACCGCAAAAAGAAGATTACATCGAATAGTTCTCCACAAGAGAGGGGGAGAACATTGTATTGAGATTCAAAAAGAGGGAAGAAGCATCTAGCTAATAACTATGGACCCGTAGGTCTGAGGTGAACTACTTGCACTTCATCGGAGGGGCTATGGTGATGATGTAGAAGCCCTCCGTGATGGATACCCCCTCCGACGGAGCTCCAGAACAGGCCCGAAGATGGGATCTCATGGATACAAAAAGTTGCGGCGGTGGAATTAGATTTTTGGCTCCGTATCTGATCGTTTGGGGGTACGTAGGTATATATAGGAGGAAGGAGTACATCGGTGGAGCAACAGGGGGCCCACGAGGGTGGAGGGCGCCCCTGGGGGGTAGGCGTGCCCCCCTACCTCATGGCCTCCTCGTTTATTTCTTGACGGAGGGTCCAAGTCTCCTGGATCATGTTCGGTGAGAAAATCACGTTCCCGAAGGTTTCATTCCGTTTGGACTCCGTTTGATATTCCTTTTCTTCGAAACCCTGAAATAGGCAAAAAAACAGCAATTCTGGGCTGGGCCTCCAGTTAATAGGTTATTCCCAAAAATAATATAAAAGTGGATAATAAAGCCCAATAATGTCCAAAACAGTAGATAATATAGCATGGAGCAATCAAAATTTATAGATACGTTGGAGACGTATCAAGCATCCCCAAGCTTAATTCCTGCTCGTCCTCAAGTAGGTAAATGATAATAACAGAATTTTTGATGCGGAGTGCTACTTGGCATAATTTTAATGTAATTCTTCTTAATTGTGGTATGAATATTCAGATTCGAAAGATTCAAGATAAAAGTTCATGTTGACATAAAAATAATAATACTTCAAGCATACTAACTAAGCAAATATGTCCTCTCAAAATAACATGGCCAAAGAAAGTTCATCCCTATAAAATCATATAGTTTAGTCATACTCCATTTTCATCACACAAGAATGATCTCATCATGCACAACCCCGATGACAAGCCAAGCAATTGTTTCATACTTTAGTAATCTCAAACTTATAAACTTTCACGCAATATATGAGCGCGAGCCATGGATATAGCATTATGGGTGGAATGGAATATGATGATGAGGGTT